ATTAAAATTCCTGCAACGATCGTCTAGATCAGATCGTTAACATATTTGTGTGATTCGGAATTTTTGCGGATTTTCCAAGCCTCGGTATTCAGGATCCATCTTATACCCGCATACCCACACTTTGTGATTAATCGATCCTAGGTCTAGGAATCCTTATCTATAGCTTTAAATTGATTTTTTCAAAGGTGAGGGCACGTTTTATCCATATCTAGTAACCCCCCCTCATTCCACCCCCCCCCCCCTCCTTGTGATTAAATGTTTTAAGATATATATTTATATATGTTGTTAACGTTGTCTGGATATGATTAAGGGCTTGTGATGCTAAAACCAATCCCATTTTCGGCAATTATTGAGGGTTGCTCGTCTTGGTTTTAGTTTTAGTTTTAAAGAAACAGGTCTTAAAATTTGTAAACTTGGATAATCTCCATGTTGTTTAATTCTTCCAATTGCTATTGGTGTTACCAAACCATACCCTGGCTGTACTGTAGTTGGTGTACTGGCACGGTGTATGTGTGTGCGTCCCCCTTTAGTAAATATAATTACTGGCTGTTGTACACTGATCACCAAATATATTTGTTAAATCATTATCTTGATAAATACCACTGTGATACATTATTCGTTTCTCAATAAATATTTTAAATTCAGAAAACAGTTTTTTTATAATTTAAGACAACTACGCAATCTGCAAATAATAAGGTCAGGTTTACGCAAAATTACTGGTACGAATGTTTGCCTTAGTAACTCCTAGTTTTGATTTTATTGACTCCAGTTTTACATATACTAGCCTTAGAGGCCCGTTTTCTATAGATAAGCTTTAAGCCCTAATTATCTGTCTCTAATGAAGTATTCATGGTTACAATTAGGAACTGGGGGAGTTTTATCTTTGCAAATTATCATGCCGTGCTTATATATATGTATAAGGAGTGCCTTTGGTGCAAAAGTATTCATTAATTAAAGTAGTATTGTGTACAGGGGGGTGGGGAGGGGGCACAGGCCCAGGGGTTGTGATTAATGGTTGAATGTAATCTTATCATTATCTCGCAATTTTCTTTCATCTTATTAATTAATAATACATGAAAGGAGGGGATGGGGGTTCCGGTGGAGGGTGGGGGGGTGCATCCCCCCACCATTAGAATATTTTTTCATCCTCCCAACTTGTTCTAATCAGATTCCTAATCTTTCCTATTCTTGAAATACACTATTTGTAAACCCGTATCTTTTGGGCGTTTATCTTCCACCCACACCCTTTGTCTTCTTCTCATTGTTGAAAAATATTAAAATTAACTGTTCACACAATACCGTACAAATAGATGTACTTTGGATTAAACCCACTGTACTCTATGATACCAACTCAGTCATAAGGAAACATTTTTCGACAAAATTCACTGTACAGTATAAACCTAGCCAGGCAAAATTAGGAGAGTTATGCCCGCCCCCTGGTCTCACAGTACTACACATACCTATACAACTGTGGAATAGGACGACAGCTTCATTTCGGACTCAAGTTATAATTTGGAATCGCTATGAAACATTGCTTTTATGCAGTGTAGGGTTTCCAATCGGAATTCCGTTGCGAGAATTGCACGAAATGGTTGCTTCCGCCTGCGCCATTTCATTGCGCGCAATTGCGCTATAATTGCGAACAAGGAAGCAATTAAATATTCGCGGAATTGCGTGCAACTGAATTGCTTTTCCATCTAAAAATCAAATCATGTTAACTGTGACTTACAAATTTTTGCAGAATCAGAAGATATCTCTGTAGATTTAAAAATAATTAAGACCTGAGTTTAACAATTGATTTAACAGTTTTCAAATTTTAAAGTTTCTTGTGGTTAAGCTACTAATTAACAATTTAATAGGATACATTTTAAATTTTTTCACGTTTGATGAACATTACCATGGAAACATTTTTGGTTAAATTGTAAGATTTATGTTTAGTCAAAAATTTATATTTTACTGCAGTAAGAACCAGAAAACTATGGTACAGAAAAACAATATGACTGTGTATTTGATTAATAAGTAACTTATTTAATCATTTGTTAAGTTACATTGGTCTGCTTGAGTCTAAAATGTCGTCTTCCTATGCCTGGTTATCATGCTGCAAATAAAACAAAAGATTAAGCTTAAATTCAATTTTATTAGCATTTGTGACATAAATGTTAATGCAGCTTTTTTATTGTATGCCACTACCAAAGTTTAAATTGATTTTCTTGTTGCATTTATTGAGTGACATAAGGTTTAGATTGAATATTATCAAAATTAAAACACAAATGTAAGAAAGTTGGACGGAATTGCGCGCTGTAGCAATTTTTGTTGCGTTTATTGCGCGCAATTATGACGGAATTGCGCCCAATTAAATTTACTTGCGCACAAGGGCTCGGAATTGCGCGCAAGTAAAATCAACTTGCGTTGGAAACCCTAATCCAGTGAAAACCGTGATAATTGACCCATTTTGATTAATTACTAATTCAATAAGTTCTAAGTAACTATATATGCTTTGACACACATCAAATTCACATAAATAATCTTATATTGTCGACTTACTATTCCATTGTTGTCTGGTTATTATGGTGATAATATAATAATAAAGATAAAAATAATAATAATAATAATAATAATAATAATAATAATAATAATAATAATAATAATAAAAATCATTATAAGAAAGTTCATTTTGGTAAGAATCATGCCATGCCAATTTGTACTAGCAATTCATATTTAATTTAAAAAATTAATAATATGTAAAAAATTGTGAAAATGTTAAAAATTTATTCACGTATAAATAAGGTCAAAAAAAGGGAAAAAAAGAATAAAATTATGATCATGTATTCACTTGTATCCATTAAATATATAATTATATTTTTAAAACATGATATTTTTAACAAAAAACAACAAAGCTAGACAGCCATAGCTTAATCTAGAAAAATTTAAACTTTAGCATTTAATTAAAACTATGAAAAATATATAATTATTTAATTCTCATTAAAATTTTAAATGTTATGTTCACAGGCGATGTTTTTTGAAAAATAATGTTTATACCGTTTACAATTACATATATTTACAATTTAAATTGTTTTTATTACACAGCCGTAAATCCTTAAAACAACAATTTAAATGCTAAAATTTATACGCAATCATTTGCGTCATTTTGTTTACTCACTGGGCTGGAAATTAAACTTCGTGACGCGTTTTTACGCAAAGAAAACTCGAGCCTCGACACAACTTGAAATATCACGCACATAGAATCTTTATTTGTGTTCAATTGCTGTGTTTGGTTCCGAAAAAAATACAAAATAAAAATCCGACCAAATTCATGGTTATACAAAACTAATCTCCCCGCTTCAATAGTGAAAAAGTCTTTTGAGTCATTTCGCTGAATAGATCTTTAGGTTGGGGGAGGGGGAGGGAGGTAATAGGGAGAGTCGTCACCAGGGGCGTGCTCAGGAATTTGTCCAGGGGGCTCAATTGATTTTATTTTAAGGTGGGTCAATAATCACACTTTTAGGGGCCAAAAACCCCCTTAACCATACATTTTGCTGATGATGGGTGGGGGGCTGAGCCAACATAGTCCTCCCCCCTGAATACGCCCCTGCTCGTCACGGTTTAAGGAATGTCTGAAGAACCAAGAGTCTGCAGCGCGCTGCTGGCAACGCTTTTGGTTCTAGAACTGGTTCCGCGATCAGCTGATTTGTACGGGACGGGGGGCGCCGGTAGAAGATCAGCTGAGAGGCGGCGGGGGCCGGCTCTACTCTAGTACTGAATCAGCTGGGAAATCAGGATCTTCACTCTTCACTCTTCAGTTGCATTTGAGGATCCGAGGCGTGAGCACACGGATAGTTCAAAACTGCAAAATAAGTGAAATATTCTCGACTTTGAAAATTTTTCAAAAAAGAAGAAAACAATCTAAAGTTACATCAGTGCTGTTTGGAAGATAATATATTACCCTTTTTCACAGCATGGCACCTTGCTATAATAATATGAAAAATCTACATTATAGAACTCAATCTTTGCCTGAAGCTGTTTACACCAACCACATGCTTCACATGGCTCATCAAGAGTATCATCAAGCACACCTCCAGGCTATAAATGATAAGCTACATAGCACCCATCATTCGTCGGCCATTAAAAAACGAAATAATATTCGTCGTTCTCAAACAAATGTGTGTGATATCGTGCCCAGCGTTCCTCATCACAGAGCCCCTCTCACCGCAGGGGTTTATGAAGCATTTTTACCCCCTCCTAATCTTAATGCCATTGGGCTCCCTGTTGGCACTTCAAATATTAATCAGTCCAGAAACCGAACTCAATCTTTTTATTTGCCGAACTATCTCCGACCTACATCTTTAAGTCATCAAAACCTACAGATGGGGAGCCAACAAAATTTGTGTATGCCCGACCAAATGATGGGTCACTATCCAATTCATCATGTGAAAGCGTTGAGCCATAGAGAGTTAGGAATTATGAACGAACAGAAAAACCTATCTCAGTCCTGGTATCATAGGTCGGCTCCCAATATATCCCAGAACATGAGCTCCCCACAATCCCTCACCACCCCCCTCTTCGTAGACTGCAGTGTGGAATATGACCTAGGAGATCACCCTCCTGTACCCGCTAATAGTGAACCCCTACTCTCCATCCACCCGGAGTACATGGTTAAAACCCGATCAGTCAATTCCAGTCCCTATAGTATGTACCAAAGTTCTAATCATATAAGAACGGGTAAGATCAAGGGTTTAAGTCCTGCGGATAAGTCTGAAAATCACAAATCCCTACCGGATATGGCAGCTAGCTATAATCGACGAACCCATCAACAGAGGTACGGCATGGTTCGAAGAACAAATATACCTCGATCTAGTCCCAAATCTATCTCCGATCCCAAACTAGAAGCGACCAGAAAGTTGTCAGTCGAATCCCGGGATTCTGGAATAGGTTTGATGAAAGACCCGGCCCTTGGGAGCTCCGCCCACCCTTGGTATTTCTCTCCACCCACCTGTGATATTGCTCTGGGACAGCCTGAGCAGCCTGCCCAGCCACCTCTACCTCAACAAACAGATTATACCAACAAGTTACTCACGGAGAACAACAAAAGATTTGCGTTTACAGGTAGCACATTTTCTATACTTCAAATATTATCTAATTCAAGATGAGGTAAAATAATGATTTTATTTCAATATAATATCTGTAGAATCTCAGCAGGTTTATTTAACCAAACATGTTAATAATGGTTCACCCTGTATGCTAACCAAACAATGGATATATATATTATATTACAACTCAAATACAAATGTGTCAGCTTTACACCCAAAATCCCTAGGACCCCCCCCCTTTAAGAACCCCCTTCCCCCCCCTTCTCCACCCCTCTCCTGACACCCTGCCATGCATATCTTGATTCTTGATCCTCAACCATGTCTTATCAGATGTCAATTCCAAAAATTCAAATCGTTCATTTTCATGCTAATGCTATACGCTGGGATCGTGAAGTGCAGATTTTCTGATACAAAATCCTAATCCCACGAATCTGATGCGGACCATTCTAAATGCCGGGCCCGCAATAATATCCCATTTTGCTGGGGTGCGTGGTGCATTAGTTAGGATTAGATGGGGAGGGTTGGATTTAAGCGGTGTGTTCCACTTATCTTACTATCTGCAGGCTATACTATACACCCGGAGAAATACCAAACTCAATTCTAAACCCTGACTCCTTCTATTCACAAACAATGTGCTTTGTATTTTATAGAAACTATAGAATTCTTTCAGCTAGCCCCACCCATCCTCCCCTCCCCCCAAGCTTATCTCTCCCTACCATTCTATCCATTATATAATGAATGTTAGTGTAAATTATCTAATTATATTCATAAGAGAGAGATTTCTTAGTTGTAGAGATTTATGCATTTCCTAGAGATTTAAACCTACAGATTTTTTTCTAGAAGAAATTCCAAGATTAGAATTTTCTCAGGATTTAAGAATAAAGTTCTCCATTGGAAGATTTATTACAATATCTAAATGTATCCCCCCCCATACCTTCCCCTTTAACTATAGTTATCCAAAAACGTTTGAAAATACTTAGTATTCAAATCCTACATTTCTTTTGTCGGTTTTTATTTGTGTTGTGTCTGAATATCTCGTTATAGCTCTGGACTGAAAGATGCATCCCCATGATAATGCCATTTCTCTATTCTGTCTGCTGTCAAGATATGCGTCCTTCATGAGGCCCCCCCCCACCCCCGGAGAGTGGAAAAGTGTGTTGAAAACACTAATTTCTCGTATGAAAGGATTTTGCTACAATCTTCTATAGAACATCTTAGAAAATTATTCTAAAAATATTTTCCTAGTTCTCTGATTGGTGTCTATTCATGAGTCTATTGAGGTCTATTCAGAGCTTGATTGCTTCATTTTATTCAATATATAGTTCCTAGAGTTAGAGCTTTCATTTGACGAAAACATTTCCACTTTTCAGAATAATTAGGTGCTTTATTGTGGTTTTTAAATGATTTTGTTCAAGTTACAATTGAATCAAAGTACCCCCCTTCCCACTGTGTAACCACATTCTTATGTAGTAATCAAACATGCTTTAATTTTAATTTTTAGTTTATTTAGAGAATTAAAACCAATGGGAGAAGGGGGGGAGGGGGCAGAATATATAATTTAATGTTTAAAACATGTTGCAGTGAATTTATATTTCATTTGAGAGCTGTTCAGTATTCGCTGTGGGCCAAACTTTCCTTGTCAACGTTTAAACAATTGATTTAAAGATTAAGCTAGACAATAAACAATACACAATTCTACACAACGCATTGTTCAAACAATTTAAGCCTATTGGAAACTTCGCAGCGTTTCCAAAACTTCAATTAGAGTTCCCTGGAACCACAAGCCGGGGTTTAACAACTACTTTTATGAAACTCATTTCCTCACCCGTCAGTAATTCGGAGAACTGAATTCTAATTACATTCATTAGCGTCAGAAATCTTAAACTAAAACTTCAAAGGTTTATATAAATATAATATATTCTATATATATGGAACTGGTAGTCCACACAATCTAGATTTTCAAGTTAATATAAATCACAAAATACTAGGACTTAGATATATTCATAAAAATCCGCGAAATATTGATAAAAATATATAGAAAATTAAACTTAGACACATTTTCATGAAAAGTTGATAAACAGCGGTTGTAGAGAGAAATAATAATAAATCAACAAAAATATATTTTTAGCAAAATTTAATATTTTTAATTTTCTAGATTTGGTTAACGGTCTACTGTGCTGTTCCACTCCAGGATATGCTCCGGATCTAAACATGTCATTTCCCGAGGAGAAAATTGGAGACTGGACTCCCCTTGACCGGAAGCTTGGGGAGTGGACCACCCCCATGGACCGAAAAGCCGGGGAGTGGACCACCCCTCAGGACCGGAAGATGGGTGATTGGACCCTGGACCGGTTCGGGACTCCCTGGAGGGATACCAGGACCATGGAATGGGTCCTGCAAGCTAGTCAGCAGAAAGGAGGAGTAGGAGGAGGAGGAGAATGTCGAGGAGCTAATACCGTATACTGTGGTCAGGACTGCGGTGACGGATTCTGCTACAATGTTTGGAACAGTATGGTTCACGTCTAGGAGCACCGTTCCATGTAACATGGTTTCCGTCTAGGAACATTGTTTCTTTGAACAATATGGTTCCTGTTCCTCAGAACTTTACATGCAGTCATTACATGAGATCCATACTTTTCTTCCTAAACAATTACATGCAGTGATTTCATCCAGGCCTAGTGTTTAATCCTGATCAAGGATTTCCTCCAGGACTAGTGTTTAATCCTGATCAAGGATTTCCTCCAGGCCTAGTGTTTATTCCTGATCAAGGATTTCCTCCAGGCCTAGTGTTTAATCCTGATCTAGGATTTCCTCCAGGCCTAGTGTTTATTCCCGATCGAAGATTTCCTTCCGGCCTATGTGTAATAAAGGATTTCCTTCTTGATTTCTGATTTGAAAAGAAGTACGCGGAAACATTTACGATCGTGACGGACCGTTACCAGATAGAAACCTTTAACAGTCCGTCCTTCTTCCTCCATCCCCACTCCCCTCAACAACCTTCCTTCCCCCTCCACCCCCCTT